TCTCGTATGCGAGAAGTCTCCTTAGCTGCTTCAATAGCAGCCTTAATACTCTCGATTTCATTCTTAAAAGCCTTTGAAGCTGCCTTCCGTTTTTCAGCAGAATCTTTTTTCATTTTTTCCAATAATGAGTTCATTTCCTGTTCACGCTGTATTGATGCTTTTCTGCTTGAACCCTGAAATTCGTGCAGTGCTCTTTCAGCATCATTTGCCCGGTTTTCAAATGCAACCGCTTGTTGCCTCGCCATTTCTAGTTCTAATTTCAACCTCTCAATCTCATTTTTATGTATCAACAACTGAGATTCCAAGTCTTTAACAAGAGTTTGTAACTTGACATTTAGAGATTGGATAGACGCAATCTGTTCAACTGAACTCATGTCATCCATAAACACTGTGACAGCTTTACTCGTATGGTCACCAGCTGATTCTGCCACAGCAAGAGCTTTCTCTATTGCGTCTTTAGACTGCTGCACAATAGAAAAAATGGTACCTTCAGTGGCATTTCGTATTTTTTCCTGAGTTTGATAAGCTGCCACCGCAGCAGAAGTTTCCGCAGCAGAAACTCTCAATTGTGCATCTTCTAAAATGTGTGAGGTTGCCTGCTGGAAAGCAATCTCTGCCAACTTCTCAACCTGCACCGCAAGCTCAATGGCATCTTGCTTTGCAAGCACCAACTTAGACTCCAAACTGAATTTCTCATCTACAGACTTTTCTAGCTTCTGATTAAACATGGCTTTTGCCGAATCAAGTTCTGCAATAGTCATTTCCTTATCATGCATTAGCGCATTCACATAATCTCTTTGTTTGGCCTCAGATCTAGCCAACTCTTCAAGCAAATGGTCCCTCTCCTTCTCGGCAGCTTCTTGTCTGGCCTGAGCCTCTGCCAAAGCTTTCCTAGTTTCCAACAGTTCATTTTCATCAATAACTGATGGATTACTATCACTTTCATCAAGAATATTAATGAAACTTTCACTAGAATCACCCTGTAATCAGAAACCAATAGAATGACACAATTAGAACTCTCTAAATGAAATTGTACCAACAAGACACCTAGTACATGTTCAAGTGCGTATTTTAGTAATTTACAATGCATTAGCTTTTTTAATTGTTTAACTGCCAAACAATAAAAAATCAAACAACTAACCATTAACTCTGATTCAAATAGCTAAACTCTAAACTCTAACTCTAAACTTTGACGATGCTATTCCCAAACAGGCCTCTAGTCCTAATTAATCCTTTCCGAGCACTAGGTTCTTGGACAACCATGTTTTCTTCATGTTCAAGTCCTCTCCCCACCCCTTCAATCCCACTTAAATCTGAACTAAACCCTATTATTAAATCAATCAAGAGTAGATATTAGACCGGGCATGCGGCCTGCTTGGTTTCCTAGCGAAGCAACTAAATGTTTTTACAACATTAAAAAAAGGGTTCTACATCTAAATTGGAAAAAAGGGGGAATATGCACACCATTTTCCTGGAAACAACAAGCCTTGGGTTGCTGCTCCATTGATTCAGACTAAACCGCCTTCTGCACAAATGACCAGAAAGCTATATAATCAACGGCATCCAGCTTAGATTAGCCATTTCTAATTTCTAACACTTGCAAAACCTTATCTAAGCAATCAAAGCTTCTGACCTTTCCTGAATCGAAAATCGATTGCGAGTCACATGATGCCACTTGAAACGAAAACACGAAACACGGCCATCACTCGAGCTCGGAAAGTCGCTAGAACAACACGGAACAGTTGCAGGAAGTAATCCGTTCGGCAAAACGATTGCAGCCATCTCGCCGCCGCACTGCTACCGAATCAACAACTTAGGAAATCATCAACTCCAGATTTCCACGAGCCTTGAGCAACAAACACAGATATGATCCAACCAATATCAATCAACACACACACATCAGTAGATCATAAAATTCAAAATTCGTCACCGAAAACAAAAAATTGAAACAGCGATATAGTGAAGCGAGCGAGATCATACATCAATTTATGAAATCTAAGAGCATCGAAATAATCATTCCTGAAGAATTTGTGATTGCAGAAAGGCTGAAACGCGATGAATTCCTCCTCACTATTGCGATCAATCATTCATGGAAGCTTGGAAGTGATGATGATTGATGTGTGCATTTCGTCGTTGAGCAGCGGGCTGTTTTTTGCTTGGAAAGTTGACTTGGGTCTGGAAAGACGGGATTGCCCTCGCTGTTTCGCCGGATGAGGATCTGAATGGGGGGTAATTTGATCATTTCACAACTAGATGACGCGAGAAAGCGTTGATTTTTCAGGTCCCTCACATGAGTTAAAGGAAAAGTCGGAATGCTTTTTTGTTTTGTTTAGTTTTTGAACTTTTAAAATAACAAAGTGGACATTTTCATATTTGAAGTCTTTTTTTCTTTTTTTGAAAAAGAAAATGTTAATCTGAAAAAAAAATATTCCTTCCATCTCATATTTTTCTTCCTGTTGCGTAAAACGAAGAAAAACCTTAAGTTTTTTCAATCTATTTTATTTAAATACGGAGTACTAATATAGAAATGAAAAATAAAACTTATACATTTAAAAGTTACATCAAAAGTTCAACAAAACACGTGGTGACAAAAATATATTATTTTATCATATAGGTCATGAGAGATGCAAATAAATAAAAGTTCCTGTGGAGTCAGAGTAGTGCTATCGGAAGAAAGATGTGGGACGGAAAAAGTACAAGAACTATAATCTCAATAAAATTTTTTAGGATCGAATGGAGTAGTACAAAAAGACAAAGTAAAATATTATTTTCTTCACCCAAATTTGATATTCTCTTTTAACTTTTTTTTATCATAGTTTGTAAATTTTCACTTCTATTTGTGAAAAAATATGATATAGATGTAAGATCTATAGTTTTCTTTTGAAACGTAATTTAATTTTGAAATATTAACTTTATGTGTGTGTGTGTGTGTGTGTATATATATATATGTATGTATGTATGTATGTATAACTACATGTATCGATATAATTAATGGTCAAAATACTAAATTAATACCATGAAAAGTCAAATAAGAAGATTCTTATTTAGGAGATAAACACAATATTTTACTCTTATTTTGGTTGATTCTTTTCATCTTAAATTGTGTGAATCTTAGGTCCACAACATTTGAAGTTATTTCATGAACATTACTATGATATGGATTAACATTTCAAATTATTTTGTATAATATTTATGCAGAGAATATCTTTATAGGATTATCCAAAACTATGGATGAACATGATACGCCGGTATCATACGGTATTTAGTTCGTATCGATAAAAATTTGAGTAAAGTGCATTGTTTACCCCCGTACTCTTTAGAAATTGCAAGTTTTACCCCTGAACTATAAAAATTGCACCGTTTACTCTCAAACTTCTTGAAAATTGCACGATTTACCCCTGCACAAAGTGCATACTAAAAAATGCACCAAATACTTTTGAACAAATTAAACCGTTGCATCGTGGGTCCTAAACTATTAGATAGGGAGTGCGATGCTTCCACGCACAACAATTGCGAATATGACTCATCTGACCCATGTGATTTTTCCAAAGTACCTTTCCCCAAAAGTATCGTCTTTATTTAAATGTTTAGAAGTAAACAGTACAATTTTCGAAGAGTTTAGAGATATTTGGTGCAATTTTTATTGTTCAGGGATAAAGCGTGCAATTACTAAAGAATTCAAGAGTATTTGGTGCACTTTTTAATGTTCAGGGGTAAATCGTGCAATTTTCAAAGAATTTGAGGGTAAACGGTGCATTTTTCTCATAAAAATTTTCATACTTGCTCACCTCTACCAAACAAACTCTAAAATATTTAGAAAGGAGCATTCACCCTTTTAAGGCATTCCTAGGGGCGCCGCGCGCGCTCGCCTTTGTGGTGTAAATATAGAGAATGGTATGAATTTGCTGCTGCTTTACACAATTACGCATTTACCCCCTACCCAACCAATTCTTTGCCATTGCCTAAGGTATAGTATTATTTTAGAAAAATGCTAGCCTTGCTAGGGGTACACCATTTGGTGTACCCCATTTGTCCCTCACCCCCCCCCATCACCACAAAAAAGACAAGAAATTAAAAATAAATTAAATAATAAAAAATAAAGTCAAATTGAGTGGGGGACAAATGGAGTACACCTTTAGTGTACGCTTAGCATTGCTCATTATTTTATTTTTAAATTTACAGTTTGTACTTTGAACGATGATAGAAAATGAGGGAAGGGGCCGACATGCAAATATATGGAAGTTTTAATGAGAATGTGGTCATAAAATTTGGTCTAAGCTTTATTAGATTGAGAAAATATATATATATATATATGAACAAATAATACATCCTACCTCTCACAAAATTTTTTTCTCTTTTGGTTTTTCATCTGTCCCAATTTTTTATTATTAAAAAGTCACTTTTACTCATACTAATTCTTAACATACCTATTACATCATACTTTTTTTATTATTGATCTATTCATCATATATAAGGTCTTTTTTGGAAATTCGATATCAAAATACACTCCTTTAAATTCTTTAAAAGTCAAAATCAGTAAAGTTTTGTGGAACGGAAGTAGTACATAACAACAGAGTTATTAGTCATCGAACATATACTCCGTATTACATAGCAGAAGAGTTATTAATCATAAAAACCTGTCCTAAAATTAATTTATCATTTGACTGTTCACACTCTCCAATAATATATATCTCAAAATAAATCTATTGATAAAAAAATTAATATAAAAAATTAATATATTTTTTCTGTAATTTATGGTCAAAGTCTAAAAAATTTAATAGTAGAGATCAAGCTGAAAAGTTAATTTTAGAACAGAGCGAGTTAGCTTGTAATAGATTCCAAATTGATCATAAATAAATCTAAAAAAAGTATTGCCTTGTGGGTTGGGCCGGGCCGTCATATTATTTCCTTAAAACCGAAGTAAAATATGTAGCACGCCATCTATATATTCTCATTCGTCTAATATATAAATAGACATACATTATGATTAAATCTGGGCTTGAATCAATCAATTCTTGATTATTATTCATTTATTTTAATTCCAAATATTCCCTCATAAAAACAATAATTCCAAATATACTTCCCAATAGCATTTTTTTTTTCAAAAAAATGAAATGTTCTAGTTTTCGAATTGGTTTGTCCATTGTGATTCTGATAGTAATGGATGGCATAGCTGCATTACTTGGGTATCAGGCAGAATTGGCTCAAGATAAGGTAAAATTCTTCTTCAATTTTCATTGTGTTTCAATTTTTCTAAATATATTTCAACCACTCGATTTTACACTTTCTTATTTTTTTCGTGTTAAGACACTGACATTTCAGTACATTTTTATGTGAAATACAAATCCACACAAGCACGCACACAAACTATGATGGTGGTTCTCTGTGCCGGTGTTTATTGACTTATTGCTGATAAGTACTACTCCCTCCGTCCCACTGTCTCACTTACCTTTTGGTACACCATCCAATGCACTTCTTTAATCCATTTTATCTTGTAATTTGTATATTAAAAAATTATAGAAATTATATATTAATAATCTATATGTTAAGACGAATCAAACAAGATCACACATGACTATTTTTAAGCTTACACATTGAGAGAATTTGATGAGTCAAAGTGCTTAGATGAACAGTTCCAAAAGTCAAATGTGGACAAAGACAGTGGGACGGAGGTAGTAGTTTTTAACTTATAAGTTGCTTATAAGTTTAAAATTCTTTTGTCAAAGTAAAATCATTTAAATGAGGGATAACTCATTTGGGAATCTTCACAAAAGATGACGAAAACAGTTTTGTAAATAATCCGGTCAAAACGAAGAAATGAAAAAAATTAACTTAAAAATAAGTAGGTAAGATCTACCTATTGCTTTTTGACGTATAAGCAGCTTATAAGTCAGGTTATAAGCACAGAAAAACAGATAACTTACAAATTAAAAATTGCTTATAAGCAGTTTTAACCAGCTTATAATCACAGAGAAATTAAACACCTGTTATATATATATATACACACACATACAGGTGAACCTAAGCTAATAAAAAATGATAATATTATACACGTATAGGTGAAGCATGTGAAGGTACTTTTTATTGAGTGTGAGAAAGGGGGATCCAAGGAGGCCTTAGTGTTAGGATATGCAGCGTTGATATGCTTTGCGGTGGCTCATTTGGCAACCCATACCGCCGGAGATTTATATGTGTGTTGCAGATCTATGATCATGAGCTGCTTCTCTCAAATGGCATTGTGTGTTCTTCTCGCGGTATGGTACGTTTTTTTAGCCCAAAGTCGATCGATCATTTCTTTCCATGGATGAATTGAGCTCTTTTTTTAAACAAAATATAAGATTTTCATGTCGGCCCATGAATAATGTGAGAAGATCCGCGTTTCACTTGTGGATCTTAGGATCACGGAAGCAAAACGTACTCTTTTAGCCAATATATGGCGGCTGTAAAGCAAAATTGCTCCATTTTTTTAAAAACACGAAGTGGGCATTTAAGACTGTTATACGGATTTCAAGAATAACGATATGAACTTGAAAAACACGACAACAGATTTACGTGGTTCACCAATAATGTATTGGCTACATCCACGGGAAGAGGGGGAACAATTTTATTATGGAGAGTCAAGAACATAATACAACTTAGGGTTTGTGGTAGCACCTATATATAGAAATATTAACACTAAATAACACTAAAACTTAAGTCATTTCCCTAAATAGCACTTAAACTAACTGTTTTATTCTCTAAATAACACTTAATAATGTCCATAATGTCCAGTGATGACAAACATTTACTTGAATAATGATTAATGGATAATGACTAAAAGTGCTACATTGGAAAAAAACACATGTGATGCTATTTAGGGAAAATCATTATGTTTTAATGCTATTTACGTAAATTCCCTTCATATATATATTGCTAGGCTATACCCAAACAAGCTTGGGCCCAAAATACAGAATTGATAGATAATTAATAGCTCAATACATCAACATTGTATACAGAATTGACAGATAATTAGTAGCACCCGTACTCTTTGCCGTAACAGATCAGATTCAAGGCATTACAACAAAAACTATGGTTCTTTTATAACAATTCGGGTGGCATGGCGGTGATATGAGATATCTCAATTCGTGATCTCTAAAGTCAACAAGATTTTTTTTCTTAAGTCAAGAAACAAATTCAATCAAAAACTCAGATTTATAACCAGAAGTTCTAGAAAAGTTTAATTACCCTTATATAACAATAATTTCTTTTAATTAAAAAAATAATCTCATTATATTATTTAATCTTCTTTTAAATATGGGCATGTATTATGCAGGGTCCTGTGGGGGGCAGGAGCATGCCTTCTTTACATTGGAGCAAAGGGGAACCAAAGACATGGAACCAAGTGTGGGGTCTCTCACCACGGCTTTCTAAAATGGGGAGCATATATTTGTTGTGCTCACTTAATTATTTCCCTATTGTATTGCATCCTAAGTCATAACCTATTCATGAAAGCTGCAATCACAAGTACAGCACCCAAAGTTGTAACACGTGTCTAGAAATTGGGGACGGTTCTCATGACATTGCCCGGCAATGTCATGAGATGACCCAGGGGCGCTCCAGTGTCCCGTTCGTAAATTAACGGTTCATACCTTCCCTAACTCCCTCTTACCTCGCCCCGGCCCGAACACACCACCCACCCACAAGTTGATTTTGACTTTGGAGTCAAAATTTGACTCCAAAGTCAAAATCAACTTGTGGGGTGCAATTGAAGGGGGTGGGGGGGTGTGTTCGAGTCGGGGCAAGGTGGGGGGGTTTACTTGGGGGTAGGAACCGTCAATTTTACGAACGGGGCACCGGAGCACCTCCAGGTCATCCCATGACATGAGATTCCAATGTCATGGGAACCCCACCGCTAGAAATTAGGTCTTTAAAAGAAAATTAATTGTAATTTACCATTGAGACAAGTTACATTTTTTATTCAATTTGTTCAAAAGTTAGTGCTGAAACAGCTAGAAATAAAAGCTAAGGGCTTTGTATTTAGAAACTGCATAAAAAGTTACAAAATAAAGAGTGAAACGACTATGCTATTTGGTCGAATATAGTATCAAAGAACTAGTTTTATCCCGTGAATGGTACATGTGAGTATGTTTTAGAACAAAATCATTATATTGAATCACTCCACTCAGAATACTTCAAAAAGAGTTCAACGTAATTGTCAGTAAATTGAAGTTGTGGGGTTTTTTTTGTTTTCTTTGCAAGGTGGCATTTTGTTGGTTGGTATTTATTATGCTGCATATTTTATATTCTCAAAATTGAATTCATACTTTGATTTCACAAAGAATAAAAAAAGTGAAAATTTTAAAATGTATAATTAGTCATTAGTGTTTGGTTAATAGATATATAAAAAATGTATTTCACACATTCTTCCAAATTTTTCCTTTATTTCATGTTATGTCCTTTCTGATGACTTTCATGATGTTACTATCTCTCTCTCAAAAAAACTAACAAAACAATCTAATAGCAAAAGACAAACTATTTGTTTGTCAAAAAAATAGTGCCACCCAGTGTTATAAAAGCAAATTTGGATGGAAATAACAATCTCTCCCTTTCAGAATCTTTAGTAAAAGAAGTTCTCGACTATTCTAAACATCTTCGCCCTATTTTTTGCATAAAAAGTGCCAAATATTTATTAAATTCCAAGGTAAAATAGAAGCGTACTATCCAAGAGAGTATGGAAGATAAAAAAAATATACCTAACCAAAGTGAACAACTCTATATCTCATCCAAAAAGGCCTTATAATAGGCTTGTTAGAAGGAAAAGGATCCAATTCAAGAGGAATGTAGTAAAGCTAGACTTTGCCTTATCTAAAAATGAAAATGGAAAAGTCCTAAGCCTAATTGCCTTTTAAGGTACCCCTTATAAGGCTCCATTGTTCTTTGGGGACTCTTAAAGAACTCTAAATTAAGTTTCAACAGTCTTTTCAAAGTGGTATAAGTAATGGACATGGGTAGGGGTTTCAAGTGTGGCACAACTAAATCTAATGAAGCAGTTATTCTAATGACACAATTAAAAGTAGGAGATAGACTTTTAGTCACACTTACCTCAGTTCTAAAAGTGTTTTCTCCTTGAAATTAAAAGAGACTATAAATGTTCTTTCTAAATGCATATTTTATCAAGTATCAACAACAGAATCTTACAAGGACATAATTTAAGAACAAAAAACACTTACTAGGACTGACAAAATCCATTTCAAGGCCACTCAAGATGCATGTTGAAAGTTCACAAAGATGAAGCAGATAATAGAAAAGGAAAGTTAGCTAACAAAGAGAACCATTAATGCTTGAGGCTACCTCTGAAGGCAACTGTGAGAATCCATTGGGAGACATTGCCTATTTGTTCCGCTTCTTGGCCTGTTTTCCCTGGCCCTTCTTAGGTGGTCCCTTCCCACGGCGCTTCAACATTTCAAGCTTGCTTAAACGCTCTTGTTCTTCTCGAGCCATGATGAGAGGATCATCCTTTCTGATGTCATGTGGGTACCACTGCGAAACCTTGTCTCCAATCAGTTTCTTGCGCAGAATTTTATGGCTGGATCTCTCACCAGTGGGGTTAAGCACATGGCCAAATATGCTCGCCCTTGCCTCCGCTACCCCTTCAATGGCTACCGATGCCAGCAAGTTCTTCAACCTCCCAGCACTCATGCCTTTCCTTCGCTGCCGCTGTTTACCTACGGAGTTAATGTAAGATGCTGAGAATGAAAGAATGAAACGACAAGGTTAATATAAGATTCGACCCGACAAAACACTAGGGCTTCATGATATTGGATTCACATGTGGAACTTGAGAAAAGCCGAATCAGGTAGACTAAATATGTTTTTGTTTAGAAATCTAGTTGAGGCGAGTGAATTTGAAAACAGCTAAGAAAAAGAGCAGGTCAGATAGGAGTTCTTTTGAAGAATCACTCTAGGAGCTAGGGGTACCCCAATTTTGAACCCAACTCTCACACCACCTTCTCACAGGACAGACAATGAAATTGTTCTGCGTATGTGAATGTTTGTGAGAAGGGAAGTGTGAGAGTTGGGGTCAAAAATTTGGGCAACCCAAGCTTAATTTTTTTTATTCAATTTAACAGGGTTTTGTTTGACTAATTGCCGATGTTCATGGCAATCCAATTTAGAACCCTAGCAATTTTCAAACACTGAGGGTCCGTTTGGTACACAAAATTGACAGAATTGGAATTGAATTGGAAATTGAAATTCTATAGAATTGATTTGGATGGAATTTAATTCTCCAATTCTAACCAATGCCAAATCCACATATTTTTGTGCTACCAAACAGCAGAATTGGAATTATTATCCCCAATTCCAATTCCGTAATTTGAATTTCATGTACCAAACTGATTTGAATTATCAACACAGATTTTTTGAAAAACCGTGAAAGGAAAAAATTTAGGTTTTAATGACCACCTTTAAGCCGCACAATCTCATCAGCCAGACCAAGTTATAACTCACTCACTCATGTTACTGGAAACACAAGCATACACATTCTATCACAATGTGGATCATTTTCAAAAAATTAAGATTTCAATTGTAATCAATAGTGATTTATCTGAGATCTAATACAAGATACTACAAGGGAATCGACTAGAAATTACAAAAAGAAAAGAAGAAGAAGAAAAAAAAGGCAGATTGCAAGAAGCTCCTAGAGATTACCCTTGAAAAACCCTAGTTTCAGCTAAGGATCTGCTGCACTGCCTTGTTCCCTCTAAGGTTTGGTTTCTACTGCTTCTACTTCGCAATTTCAGGAGGAGAACTGGAGAAGATAGTCCGATCTATTTCGTCTCCCCAAGTTCTCGTATCTCTGGTTGATATCTCGCCCAAGGCAAATTATATGGTGTCAAACACTCAAACCTATAATGTAAATAAGTTTTTTTAACTTATAAGTGAGCATATGATGTGTTTGTGTGTGTTTATAAACTGACTTATAGGTATGACTGTATGAGAAAGTAAGTAGGTCTCACTTACTTATTTTTAAGCCTTTTTTTTGTTTTTGTTTTGACCAGAATACTTACAAAACTTTCCCTCACTCATTATGAATATTCCCAAATGACTTATATATATATCATTTAAGTCATTTCATCTACATGAAAGGATTTTAACTTATAAGCAGCTTATAAACAATAAGTCAATATGCACTAGCACAGAGAAACACCACATATTTGATAATACTACATTATTTTAGAATTAAAATTACGTTTGTTTTATAATATACACTATTTTGTTGATTCAAAATGAATATTTTATTAATTTAAAATGAATATTCGCCGAATGTACCCAACTTTACGTACCGCTACGTGTACACTATACATTCTCCTCCCCTAACGCCACACCAGCTTATGCCTATTTGGCCTTTGCAAACAACTTTTTCAATTTGAATTTGTGGGTTCATTATTTTACAACAGCATAAACTAAATTTGACAAGTCTAAAGCTAAAGTTGCTTGAATGATCTTTTCAAATAATTCTTCTCAAAACACATTTTATTTAATTAAAGTCATTAAAATAAGAATGATTGTTAATCAAGTCTCAAGAGATACGGAAGCATTGCCTTACTACGTTATTAGGTTGAGAAATTATTAACAAATACTCCGTACTAATTTTATTTTTCTTGTATTTTAATGACGTGCAGTGGCTTAATGGCCTATTCTAATGGACTATTCATTCTGCGTCATTAGGTCGAGAATTTACTACATCTTTTTCTCAACCTATTATCATTGTATTCTAATTGAATTTATAGTAAATTGCTTAAATGTTCTCTCATGATGAAGGATTTTTTTCATTAATGACCTCTAATTATAAGATATTACGTTCATAGTCCACGGTATTTGAGGATTATTTCATATTCAGCCATTTGACTTAAATGTTACTCTTTCCATCCACCATAAATGTTTCCAATTGTCATTTTTGTTTGTCTGAGAAAGATATTTACATTACATTTTTAGCATTTAAAATAACATCATTTGTCCACTTTAATTATTACACTTTAAACACCTTATTGTATGCTACATCCAATTTCATTAAGGGGTCTGTTTGGAAAGACAGAAAATGACTTCTAGAAAATGAGTCATTCTCCAGAAGTCGTTTTCATTTTCGGATGTTGGCTAAAAATATGAATATCATCTATTTTCATTTGTCTAATTTCTGGAAATTGAGTATCAGGAAAATGATATTTGATAAAATTGTTTCTCAAGCATTTTATCAAACACATGGTGACGGACCTCATCATCAACAAAAAAAATTCTACTCCAAATCTTACAAGAGCTTAGAGACGTAAAATGATTAAAAAACCACTCTGATTCTTAAACTTAAGTTGATGAATTGTAATCCTAAAAAAATGATGAATCATAGATGTGGGAAGAGAAGTTGATTCTGAGGGGGCAACATAAATTAATTTTGAAGAACTAAGTTGATGAACAAAAAAATACCTGTAACCCTAGCCGATTCTGAAGAGGGTAAAGAAATTGTGCTGCGCGCTCAGAATTAGAGGAATAAAGAGGAGATGAAGAGATGTCGAAGAAAAGAAGAAGGGAGTGAGATTTGTTGATGAAAACCCAGCAGGCGAAAGAAAAAGAAATAAGCGTATAAGAACTACTCCCTCACACCCGAAAATTACAATACTCCGTATTTGTTAGGGGTGGGCGCTTTTTTAATACATCAACCTATCACGGACCACTATTATTTAAACGGTTCGGTATCGGTATAGGATGAACTCTAATACCATTCGGTACCATTCCGTTTTGAAACGGAACGGTACAATACCATACCCATGCTCAAACCGTGCAAAAAACTGAACGTACATTACTAAAATAATACGGAGTATTGAATTTAATGTATAAATGTGTATAATATAATCACAAGAATGTTAAATAAAAGTATTGATTTCAAATTTAAATGGATCATAAACATAAAGAATAAAAGATAGCGAGTCCAAAATTTAAAAATAATATCGGAATACTAATAACTATAAACAAAATTATGCCAATAGTAATGATAAATATAATACGGAGTAACAACAATAATAATGAGAGAGTTTAAAAATGAATAATAAAATACGAAATACTCTATACACGGTAAGATGAGGTTGACAAATACTCCATAATTATTTGAGATACGTACTCTGTATATAGCGTTGGACGGTTCGGTCCGTGATAATCTGTTTTAAATATTTGTATCACGGTCTCGTCCCATTTGCTATCGGTTCGGTTTCGGTTCGTGATGAAAAAAATCAATCCCATTTGAAAACACTATAAACGGTTCGGTAACATTACGGTCCGGTATGGTACCATGCTAGTTCGGTTTTTTTGCCCACCCCTAATATTTTTTGGAAAGTGATAGGGTATCCCAAATATCCCCACCCCCTCTATTACCACAAAAAAAGACAAGTAATATTCAAAAAAGAAATAAAAAATAAAAAGAAAATAAAATGAATGGTGTAGAGGCAAGTGGTGTACATTTGGGGTACACCTAAGGTGTACCCTTAGCATCTCCTATATTTTTTTTATTCCCTCCATCCCAAAATATTTACAACATTTGCTTTTTCAGCAGTCGCGGGAACTTTTGTTTATTTCTACTTTTCATTGGTTATTTGATAAAATAAAATATTCTTGACACCTCTTATTTCAAAGAACTTTTCATGTAGATTTTTATATGTAAATTTTATTTTGTATTTCTATACCAATACGTAAATAAAATGAATTTAAAAAACTTGATATTTTATCTCGGGAATACAAGTGTAGCAAATATTTAGAGACGGAGGGAGTATAATTTTTGTTTATTTTTGTATTTTTGTTAAATATTTGATAAAATAAAATATTTCTGTTACTATTATTTTATAGAATTTTTGACATGGTGTTTTAGTATGTAATTTTTATTTTTATTGAGGTACTAATTTGTAAATAAAATAATTCCAAAAGACGATTATAATGAAAAAAAGACTAAAGTACTAGTGAAATATTGAAAATATATCAAAATAAAACTTTCACGTTTATTCTCAAAATAGGACTTAAAATGCATTTACATTATCAAACATGAACATTACCAAAAAGTATAGTAATGTGCACATGTGTAGTGCCACATTACAACTACATTACTACAGTGCGAATTCTTATTTCGGAAATAAAAACATAGAACTACTATTTTAGTATTTTTTTTTCTACGTTTTAATAGACTTCTACTTTTTAAATTTTTTTGGTAAATTATAAAAAATCAACTTAAAAAGATATATGGTAGACAAATGGAGTATTTTTATGTGAACACGGTTCCGTTGACACTCGCCAACGGTGACACGAGCGGCGTCACTACGTCTTTTAGGAGCACCTCCTTTCGTCCAATCAGAAAATTGATGGTCTTTACCCCATAACACACATCTAAACCCATCATCATAGTCCCACCCCAGCCCCCTCCAAATGTGGGGGGGGGGGGAGGGGATAGGAATGAGGATAAGGTGGGGGTGGGAGGAGGGTTAGGGGTGGGGCTAGAGTGAGGGGTTTAAAAGGTGGATTAAGGTGTAGGAATTATCAATTTTCTGATTAGAAGATCGGAAATGCTCTAAAAATGTAATGGCACCACTAGTGTTACTGTTGGGAAGTATCAACAGAACTCCACTCTTTTTATATATTTTTTAAAAGAATGGTTATAAAAGAATTCTCAAATATTGATGATCATGAATCATGAATATAATATCTTAAAATTAAGTAACATATACAAAAATATACATAAAGTATTTTTACTTGAAACTTACTATGGTTAATAAGTAACATATGAAATTTACTATGGTTAATAAAAATAAAGTATTTTTACCTGAAACTTTACACATATATACATATAATAAATATCTCCATGTCACAAATTTATCATGTGTACATGACCATACAAAACTTAGGATCAAGCATAATGTGAGCTACCATAGCACAACAAAACTTTTTAGTACTATTAAATATATTAGAATGTAATTTTTGTACATATTAATAATGCATAAAGACTCAATAACTCTCTCTCTCTCTACTAAGATTCAAATTTGTGTGAATTTCTTTATAAATTTTACAAGGTGTGCTTCCTTACTCCCTTCCCTTTGAGAAAAGTTCCTAAAACCTTTATTTTACTACCGAATTAATAATGATAGGATAAATTGATAAAAGAAGGGAAAAAAGTACTATTCCGCTTTTGCTTTAAAAATAAAAAAGGATTATTATTCCTTAAAAATACAAAGAGCAACGCGGCTTCACAAAGAAGGAACCCTCACTCTGCTGTCTATTTTGTCTTTGTCTTTCTCCCCCCCTATCTATCTCTCTTCCTTCTCCTTACTTTTCTCTCTTTCCCGTTCACAAGAAGAAGCATCCAAGCTTTTAGGGTTAGGGTTTTTGTTCTCCAGTAAAACCCCCGAGCTTCCAGGTCAATTTTGAGGCAGGAGGCGACGGGATTGGCCTGCTTCTGCGCGCCTTGTTAGGGTTCCGGTTATGGGTCGTCGCTCTTCCGTGGTCAAATGGCACCATATTCTTAAATCTATGAAGCTCTTGTTCCTCATTTGGTCGCTCTACAGTGTTGCTTTGGGCTTGGATTCGGATCAATCCGCTCTTTTGGAGTTCAAGGCCTCCGTTTCGGATCCGCACGGACTGTTGTCGAGCTGGAAGGTGAACGGTTCCGATTACTGTACGTGGGCCGGAGTTTCTTGTGCTCCCGATTCCCGGGTCGTTGCTCTGAACATCAGCGGCGGAGGTATTTCCGGCTCTTCTCCTTGTGCTAATGTTTCTCAGTCCCCACTTTATGGGTTTGGGATTAGAAGGGAATGTCAGAGTAGTGATGCAAAACTCGTGGGTAAAATCTCTTCTGCTATAGCTAAGCTCAATGAGCTTAGCGTCTTGTCACTTCCTTTTAACGAATTAAGTGGCGAGATTCCAGAAGAGATTTGGGGTATGGAGAATCTTGAAGTTTTGGATCTGGAAGGAAATTCAATAACCGGATCTCTCCCTTCAGAGCTTAAAGGCTTGAGGAAACTGAGGGTTCTCAACCTGGGTTTCAATAAGATAATGGGAGAAATTCCGAATTCTTTGGGAGATTGTACTGGATTGGAAGTCTTAAACTTGGCTGGGAATATGGTAAATGGGACTATTCCCGGGTTCATTGGTGAGTTTAGAGATCTGAGGGGGATATACTTATCTTTTAATCAGCTCAGTGGGCCGATTCCAAATGAGATTGGGCAGAACTGTGGGAACCTTGAGTATTTGGAGCTGGCGGGTAATTTCTTAACAGAAGGTATTCCAAGAAGTTTGGGAAATTGTAGACAGTTGAAGACAATACTGCTCTTTTCAAACATGTTGGAAGAGAGTATTCCTGCAGAGATTGGTCAGCTGAATCAGCTTCAAGTCTTGGATGTGTCAAGGAACAGCCTCAGTGGGTTCATACCGTCTGAGCTGGGAAATTGCACCAAATTATCTGCTATTGTATTGTCTAACTTGTGGGATCCACTTCTAAACACTTCTTATTCAGCGGGTGATTCCTCAAGTGCAAAACCAGCACTCAGTGGTGATGAATACAACTTTTATGAGGGCACAGTTCCTGATGAAATTACCAGACTTCCCAGTTTGCAGATGATATGGGCTCCTAGGGCAACGATGGATGGAAACTTTCCCAGAAACTGGAGTGCATGCAACAGCTTAGAGATGGTCAACTTGGGTCAAAATTACTACACGGGTGAAATCACAGGATTATTAAGTAACTGCAAGAATTTACGTTTCCTTGACTTGAGCCTAAACAGGCTGACCGGTGAGCTTGTTGAAGAGCTTCCAGTTCCTTGCATGAATGTGTTTGATGTAAGCAAAAATTTTCTTTCGGGTTCTCTTCCTGTATTCAGTAACAGAACTTGTGCTCATCTCGCTGATGTAAACAGAGACCCATTCAAACTCTATGATGCATCTTATGCATACCTCTCGTTCTTTACCCGTAGAGCTCTGCTTGAAATTGGTACTACGTTGGTTGGGGGTGGTTTTGGTCCTGATGTGGTTCATAATTTTTGTGGTAACAACTTTACGGGGCAGTTGACTTCATTGCCCATAGCACCCCAAGCATTATTTGGAGAGAAATCTGCTTATGCCTTTCTTGCATGTAGTAATGGGATTACGGGGCCTTTTCCTGAGAGTATCATCAATCAGTGCCATTACATAGGAAGTTTGATTGTTAATATGAGTAACAACAGGCTGTCTGGTTGGGTCCCGACAAATATTGGCTCTCGTTGCAGGTCTCTGAAGCTTTTTGATGTCTCGAAGAATATGATTTCTGGGTCCCTTCCTCCAAGTATAGGGAGTTTGGTTTCTCTCGTATCTCTCAATCTGAGCTGGAATATGTTGCAAGGTCAGATTCCCAGCACCTTTGGGAAGATAAAGGATCTCAAATATCTCTCTTTAGCCGGAAATAATTTGAATGGATCCATCCCCACAAGTTTTGATCAGTTGAACTCCTTGGAAGTGCTTGA